ACAGGTGGGATGGGGACAGTGGACAGTATCAGTAAGCCAAAAAGCAAAGTGTCATTTGCATAGCTAAAAAGCATCATATTTATAGCACTATTGGTTTCTCTATAATATTTGAAGCGCAGAACCATCTATTGAACTTGAATGGTGAGAGTTTCATGAAGGACTGCTTCACTCAATACACAGCTAAACTGAAGAATTTGTTCCATGGTATATGAGGGCCACCAGTTCGGATGATTATAAAGATACAACTATAGTCAGTAACTCTTGGTCATAATAGCAGTCTATTATCAGCAGATCCACTCTTTGAGAAAATGGGTAAAATGATGATGTGCTTAAGTCTTGCTTATGTTTTTTTTTCCTGGGAATCTCGATGGCCACTGTGGGAGCAGAATGCCTAACTCACTGGGTGCCTTCTGACTTAGATGATGTCTGAATCAGCAGAGCTCTTGTTACACTTTTATGAACTGCACTTCCTCCATTAACTCCTTTGTTGAGTGACTCAGTTGACCATTCAGAAATGCAGAGAATATACTGGCTTGCTTTATGGAGTTTTTAGGTAGTTTACAGTGAATAACTAGGCAAGGGTGAAACACTAAAAAAATTGTGCAATGTCACAAATATGAATTGTTACTGCTACACCTAGACTTGCAGAGTTCCAGTCAAATTATAGGCTTAACAATTGTCTTTGATAAATATTCTGCCAAACTTCTTGTAGTGGCATTTCAGGATATAGCTCTAGACAATAGGTGGAAGATTTTTGACAGGAGTCTAACGTTTGAGAAAAAGAAAAGGCATATAATAATACAAGCCAAAGCTTCTTGGAGGGTCAGGGACAGGGACTAGGAACCCCCCCCCCCCGTTCTCAGCATTCAAACGAAAAATATATCATCATTGTTAAATATGCACTCCATACCAAACTGAAGGTCTTTGAACTCTTAAACAGAATTGGGGGAGAGGGTGCCTTCAAATCAGTGTTGACTCCTGGTGACTTCCTGGACCAGTCCCTGCAGTTTTCTTGGCAGCATTTTCAGAAGTGGTTTGCCCATGCCTGCTTCCTAGGGCTGAGAGAGAGTGACTGGCCGAAGATCACCAGCTGGCTGTGTGCCCAAGGCAGGACTAGAACTCACGGTCTCTAGCCTGATGCCTTAACCACTGCACCAAACTGGCTTTCCTTAAACACAACTACTAAACAAAAAGTCGATATATTGAGGAGTAGCACTAGATTAAAGGAAGTTTCCTTAATAATAAACAATTATTTAAGCACATACTTCAAAGCAATGAAACATCAAGTACTTAATGTTAGTTGGACCACGCGCAAAGTATACATGGCAATTGAGAAAGAAAAACAGTGAAGAGTTATTACATAATTCAAAGCTGTGATGGTCAAAACAGTTTAAAGGACAACCGTCAGTTCTCACTGACAAATTCTTCTGTTGCAGATTCAACGCTGCAAAATGTTTTTCAAATCCAATCATTTGTATTTGTTCAGATCTTGCCTCCATATGTGGAGTAACTGAGGTAGGGTGTTGTGGGGTGACCTGGGCTTCCTTTCAGCTTACTAACTTTGAGGATGTGGACAAGGTCCTCGGCAACATAAGCGTGGAAAGCTGCAGGCTGGATCCTTCCTCCGGCTGGCTTCTTTGGGCAGCGAGACGTGAGGTGGGCAGATGCATTCAGGGGATGGTTAATGCTGTGGGAGGGCGGGTCAGGAGAGGAGCTGATACAAACACAGACATCCAGCCAGTAGTTAAACATTGAGGGGTCTTATTCTGGACACTATGATACCTATGCTAGTGAGATAGTGTGGTTTAATATATAAATATTATATATTAAATGCACGCAAAAGTATTATTTACAAAACCAGTGTATTTTTCTGTGTAAGTACAGAGCAGGTTAAGAAACTGAATCTTAACTTACTTAACTTTCCTCCCTCTCCCTTACTTTCTGCTTGTAATTTATTATGGCTTCTTCTCCCCCAATGGATCTCAGTTGCTGATACTGAAATGTCCCTTCTGTCAAACAAACCCTTTAATTCACAAAGTTCCACTGTCCGGCTTCTGAATCTTCGTACACCCAACATATTTGTTGGTGTTGTGCTGAGACATCTGCTCCCCTTAAAAAAACACACACACAAAAAACCTTAGCACAGATCCAGCCACTTCCCTTCAGCTGAGCACTTCACCCTGTCACAAATGCCTCTTTAAGCCTGGAGCTGGTGCTGACCACCATGAAAAATGAATGGTGTTCCTCTCAACCTGAAGAAGTTGACTCTTGATCCAACTATATTAAAGACCTGGCTGTTCTCCCAGGCCTTGGGGTAGGGTGGGTGGAACTCACCTTGTTAGGGGTGATTGATATATTTTGTTTTTGTGTTGACTTTGTTGTCCAGGCTGCCATAGTATTATTTCTCTTATTATATTTTTTTATTTATGTTACTGTATCTGTGTTCTGTTTTATATTGTGAGCCACCCAGAGCTGCTCTGAAGTCAGGCAGTGCTAAAATCAATCAATCGATCAATCGATCGATCGATCAATCAATCAATCAATCAAATAAATGTCTTCTTCCCAGTTTCCAACCTTCTGTTCTTAAGGAAGGTTTTAGAGAAGGTAGGAAGATTGCAGTTGTGGAGGATTCTGGAGGAAATGGATTATCTGGATCCTTAGTAATCAGGGTTCTGGTCAGGATATGCAATAGAAGATGCATTGGTCACTGTTGTGGATTATCTCCATTGGGACCCGCAAGGAGGCAGTGACACCTTCCTGGTCCTTTCAGATTTCTCAGCAGTGAAGTATTGTGGACCATCTGCAAAAGTGAGGAGTTGGAAGTACTCTACCACACTGGTTCCACTCTATCCTGAGAGGGCTGTTTCAGTTAATATTAGCATGGGATGAGTTTGAGCCTATGACTCTCCACTGTGCGGTTTGAGGCTCTCCCCCATGTTATTTAACATCTTTATGACACCATGGGAGAGGCCATTCATCAGTTTGAGGATATTAATATGGATATGATACCCTATTATATATCTCCATCCCAGAGCAGGCTGAAGATGCAGTATGTTCTGTCTCAGTGCTTGGAGGCTGTTGAGATCTGGATGGGCTGAACCAGGCTGAAGTTGAATTCCAGCAAGATGAGCTTTTATCTGAAGTGTTTAGGTTCTCTGATGGCCCCTTGCTAGTTTTGGATAGGGTCACACTACCCTTGAAGTAGTAGGTATGTGACCTAGGGGTTCTCCTGGACTCATGGCTACTGCTAGAGCAGCAGGAAGAGTCCGTGGCCAGGGGCCTTCACCCAGCTGCAGCGAGTGTAGGAGTAATAGCCCTATTTAAAGTAGGAGGCCTCAGCAGCCATAACTCATGCCCTTATTACTTCCTGGCTGGATTACTGCAATGTGCTCTACTTGGAGCGATCCTTGAAGACAACTTGGAAATTTTTGCTTGTGCAAAACGTAGTGCCATGTATGTTGGCATGTGAAAGCCAATATTTCAAGTACTGCATTGGCTGCCAGCATGTTCCTAGGGACAATTCAAGCCAATATGGCATGGATGCTTGAGGGACTGTTTTCTCCAGAGAGAATCTACCCATCTTGTTCCATTGGCCCAGGAGGGCATCCTCAGTGTTTCCTCCCTCTGTGAGATCAAGGCATGGAAATAAGTTTCTCCCTGAAATTCTCAGGGCCTCCGTGCCCCTCTCATTTCATAAGGACACAAACATCTGGTACTTTAGTAAGGCACTGGGTCACAAGTCACTTTTCTACTTAAAAGATTTTAATGGTTTTGCTATTTACATTATAGTGATGTGGATGTGTTTCTTATTTTACCATAGTTGTGTAAACCACCTGGGATTTGGGGAACAAGATAGGTTTAGTTATTTGTCTAAAAGATTCATATTTCACCTTTCCTCCAGAAGCAAAAGTGGTAAACAGTATATAGGATTCCTTCATCTAATTTCTCCCACAGCAACACTGTGAAGTAGCTTAGGCTAAGAGTGAGTGTCCCAAAGTCACCCAGACTTTCCCTGGCTGAGGATGGATTTGAACCTGGATCTCCCCAGTCGTAGTCCAATACCTCAACTAGTAGACCGCACTGGGTTTTATGTATAATCACAGATCACAATACGATATGAATAACTGACAGGTCACTTACTCTCCTGAAGTGTGTTTCTTTTTTAATAAATGCATTTTTGAGTTGTTAAACTGAAGCAATCAGTGGTGTTGAATACAGGTAGTCCCCAGTTTAAGAACGAATTTGGTTCTCAAGGTCTGTCCTTAAGGTGAATTTATGTGTAAGCTGGAACAGTATTATTGTATAATACTGTATAAGTAGTATTGTGTAATGAACTCAAACCATTGTGTATTTAACTTGAATCATTGTGTATTCACAGACTCAAATTTGGCTACAACAGGCTCTGTTCTTAATTATGGGTCGTCTGTAACCCGGGCGTTCTTAACCTGGAGACCACCTGTGAAGGACTGGGATGAGAAGTCATTAGGCTATGGTAAAATTTCCACCTAGATTTTATGATATCCAGGATGAGAAAAATCTAGGACTGTGTTCATCCAGAGGGTTAAGAATAGTATATCAGTTACAGGACCTCAGTTTGATCCGGAGGGATCCGATTCTACCTTCCTGCAGTGGAAAGCGTGATATCACAAAGTGCTGTATGCAAGTTTGCTAGGGGAGGGTGCAGGCAGGCACAAAAAGCAAAAGCCATCTCTAATTAGAGTTTGGGAAAAAAATCGGGCGACCTCTCTCCCTCCTAAGTTAGAAGATTCAGATACAGCACGAGATCTTTTTGCAGAAGAACCTGACTGATTCCAAAACAGGCATTTGGGTGCTCCCGTTTGGCGCGATCTCTCCTTCTGGCTCCCTCTTTCTAGAGGAGCAGGATCTTGTGGATTGGCTGGGGGGAAATGCTCAGGGTCCCTCAAGAACCGCCTCTAAGCTGTGCTGGGGAAAAGTGTCCCGTAACGGGAGGAGGCTGCGGAGTTCGGTCTCGGCCGGCAGCAGCTGCAGCTGCGAGAGGTCCAGGGAGAGTCGCCGCCAAGCCGGGCCGGACGAGGCGAGGCCAGGCGAGGCCAGGCGAGGCGAGGCCGTGGCAGGCTAGTGGGCAGCGGCGGCGGCGGCGGCGGCGGCTCTGTCAATCAGGCGGACTTCCCTCCTGCACGCCCCGTGCTTTCCAGCAAGCCGCCTGCTGGTGTCTCTGCTGCCTTCGTCGAGGCTGAGCGCTGGAGAGGAGCGGATGAGCCAGGGCAAGGAGCCGTGGGGCTGAGGTTGCCTGGTGGTGGGCTAGAGGGTGGTGCCGACTGCCCTCAATGTGGCCGGGGCCCCCTGCAGCGAACTTGAAGGCTGGGGTTGGGCTGAGCTACGCCTGCCATGGCTCCTCTGGCCGGGATCGCCTTGCTTCTCGCCTGCTGGGTGCTCCTGTTGGCCCCGGGGGCCCCGCAGAGTCCCGGGGAGAGAGGTAAGTGGCGG